TAATCTTGAAGTGTAAAATTTTTTTAATTTAGGTTTTAACTTTTTTCTTCTATCTAAAATTTTTTTCCCTTATAATTTTTATTTTGGACTATTACTAATTAAATATTTTTTAAATACTTTTTTTATCTTATTATTATTATTATATTCAGGTCTTCCTTGCTTATTTACTAAAAATGCCAAAAATTGTTTTTTATTATAATATTAAATTCTTTTTTTTTAATATTGAATTTAAATATAATCCTTAATAGAATATTAAAATGATTAATATAGATATAATATAAAATAAAAATATAAATTTAATATTTAAATATTATTAATATAATGTAAATATATAATATATTAATATTTATTATAATAATTGATATAAATTATTATTAATATAAATTAATAATTTACTAATCAAAATTTTTACTATATAATTAAATATATAATATTGAATGGATTAATATTAATTTAATAAATTTGCTTAATAATAAAGTATAAGAATATATAATTACATTTGACTAAATATATAAGTAATAAGTTATTAAATTATTATTTACTATTTAATAAGTAAATAAATTTTTCTTAATAATAATTTGATATAACTATCTAATAATTTAATATGAGTTATTAGTATATAAATTTTTAATAAAAAATTTCTTTATACAATATTAAAATTATATAATAGCATTATTTTTAGATTATTTTTCCTTTTTCTATAATTTTTAAAACTCTTCTTTTTCTTAACCTTTGTTTTTTTATTTTCCTATGTGACTTGTCATAACTTCTTGTTCATCCTTTTCTAACTACCTTAGATTTATTTTGTCTCCCCATCTCTTTTTAATACCATTTCCTTTATTTGTTGTTTGTTCCTCTTCTTTCTTTTCTTCTTTTTTATTTCCTTCTTTAATTCTTATTTTTTTTAAAATAACGTTAAAATTCATTTTTTTTACAAACATTTTTACATTGACAAGCCTTAGAAAGAATATCTCAGGGGTCAAATGGCCATCTGAATGAGTTTCATTCTTATGTAATTCATATATATATATATATATATATATATATATAATTAAATAGTGCAATGCAAGATGAGTGATAATGGTTATAAAACAGTGGTTCATGTAAAATAATGATGAAGAACAAAATGTATATTTATTATTATTAATATATATATATTATAATTTTATTATAAGAGATTATAGTAAAAACATTTTAAATCACTACAAAAAAGCTTTCATATTTCAATACTATGATTGTACATCCTTAGGCGCTGGTTGGTAAATGGTGATAAAATGATTTCTCAAGGAAATTTAAAAAAACAAATTGTTACCTCTTTTATGAAAGTTAAAATGGGGATGCATAGGGTCAGAATAAAAAATATACTTGTGGGTGTGTCTAGATTAACCAATTAAATGTCAGATCTATGCTAGATAGAAAAATACGGTCAGAGGGTGGGGGGGTATTTTTTCATGTAAATTTTTTACATGTGGATTTTTACTCCATCTGTTCTTTCTCTTATTTGGAGATATATATATAAAAATATAAAAGCGAACATTGAAGTCAACACTCAAGTCACAGGCTGTTTCATGCTAGATGCAATCATCAGGCCATGAGTGTTGGATTTTGTGGGTAATCCATTCTGGCGGTTATTTTGGTGGGAGTGGCTTGTTTATTTATTTATTTGGGTTAATTTATTTTACTTGTTTTTTCTTTTTGTTTTTTTCTTTTCAGTTTTTGATGTTTTATTAACATAGTAAAAAAATTGCTTAGGTCACTTATTTAATAGTTTGTTTTGGTCTGGGAAAATACTTAAAGCAATTTATTCGTCCAGTTATTTGATTGCCGTAGTCTATTCTGTTATTTTGGCAGAGGACAGTTTTGTTTATTATTTTATTTATTCATTTATTTGGATTATTTATTTGTTTTTGCTTATTTATGTTTGCTTTTATTAGTTCAAATGGTTATTTTAGCGGGAGTGATTTGTTAATTTGTTCATTTATTTATTTATTTGGATTAATTTTTTTTACTTGCTTTAAAATCCAACACTTGCAACCTGACAATTGCATCTAGCATGAAACACCCTGTCACCTCTGAGTGTTGACTTCAATGTTCACTTTTATATTTACATATGCTCTATCTCTGATATTGAGCACTTTATCCCATAAATATAGAACACCTTAAAATTATATTTCTTCATACGTGTATATATATATATATATATATATATATATATATAAAATCTTTTTTTTTTATAATCCAGCATTTTTTCTTGTTACTTTAAATGTTATTTTTAGTGGATGCACATGTTTGAGTTGCTATCCTGGTTTTTATTTTCTTAAATGATGAAATTAGTAATGAGCAACCTTGGTTGAGAAGTTCTACTAAAGAAAAATGTGCCTCCCAACAGGAATCAATCCTGCATCCCCTTTTCCATCAGGGAAACAACTCCTATAGCCAAAGTAGTCCATTACCAATTTGGCCATGTGAAACTATCTTGACCAACTTAAATTGAACTTTGAGGTGGTCTCCTGTAGCCAAATTGATAATGGTCTGCATCATTTATAGTAGTGGTTTTCCTGATGGAAAAAGGGATGCATGTTTTGATTCTTGGACATTGTTCTTCTTGATCTACACTGGTTGTTATTAATTGCAATTTTTAAGGAAATAAAAATTGAATAAAAGTAGTGATAGCAACACAAACAAGTATACACACTAAAAATAAGATTTACGGTAATAGACATATCTTTTCTTATATGCTCTTATTTGAAATTATTTTAAGAGTTTTTAAATACACAAAAAATGTTTGCTTTATTTACCATTTGTAGCACAGTTTTGGGGTTTTTTTTTTTATAATGTTCTCAGAGCAATGTTTTTTTTATCTAACGAACCAATGTTTTTCCCTAAACTCAGACCAAATGACAAAATATCAGATTTATTTTAGGAGAAGAGCTTCTTGGTTGTTGTACCAAGAATGTTTTCACACCCCTCATATATATTGTGTGTGTGTCGGAAATAGACTGAACTTAAAAAAATCTATAAATTTAAAAGCATATAAAAAAAAAAAAAATTAAGAAAAAAGTGCAGATATAAAGATGGGAGAAAGTAAAATATGTTTGTCTTCTATTTTCTTTGAAATGCTATAAATTAAAGGATAATTACCTGTCATTTCTCTTGATAAAATCTGATAATTTTCTAATTTATCACCCTTTTTGGAAGTTAGGTTTTGTTAATATGTGTGGGGTGGCCTTGAATAGTATCTGGCTGTTGAAAGCAGATAATTACCAAAACAATGAAAAAATAAAGATGGCTAGAAGGAAAGTCAGAAGAATTAAGTTTTCATTTTTTAGAAAGAAAACATACTAACAAGGTATAGAAATATATTACATGCATTGTCTCTGAAAAAACAAATCTAGTGGATGTTAAAAAAAGCTGCCTCTACTCACAAGTCTGGCATTTCATATTGCAAGAGGCTATGCTTATTCATGTTTTCATGAGTCCTAAGACATATCCTGCTTTAGCAGCATCTACCAGAAGACTGCATTTCTAAACAGACTGGGATTCATTGATTGACTGTTAAAAGTCATATCACTGGCAAAGAATGGCAAGGAAGTAGAAAGAACATGAACATGACACTTGTAATACAAAGGATAAAATTTTAATATAAGTAATGAAGACAATCAGCAAACCTACCTTGCATTGTTCTGATTACTATTGGCCAAGGAACTGCATCTGTTAGCTTTTTTTTTTATATCAATTATAGTAATTCAGAACTTTAGATATTTGGAGGTGGGGAGATCTTATAAATATAATTAAAAGTCTATGACAATGTATCTTTTTAAAAACAATTCATTGAATTTATATAGCAATTGATATACTATAAAATCACATTACTGATTTGATTTTATGAATAAACATAAAAGAAATGTCATTTATACCCTAAATTGTGGATTGTTTGTCAGATGAACTTATAAATTAATAGAATTGAAATAGCTTTAAGAATTGAGCGACCTTACCTTGTACAATTCCAGATCACTTTTAGGCAAGGAACGACATCAATCATTTTACCCTCCCCATTTGACATACCAAATTGTACCTCTTTGAACATTTAATAAATGCAAATAACATTGCCTGTGGGGATATAGATCAGATTCTATCATTTTCTCTGGTCTTCAGTATCTTACATTGTAAATGTTTAATTTAGTTAGCTTATAAAGATAGAAGTAAAGAACTTTTTCTTCTCTTTTATGAATTTTTGTTCTTCTTTGGCTACTGGCAGAAATATTTTGAATTTGTGTTGATTAACTGATAATTTGCAGAACAGTAACAAGTCTATTTGCTTAAAGCATTATAAGGTCAAAAAGAAACTATAATTTCCATTATATACAAAGGTCATTATTTTAGTAAGGAAATTAATATGCCAATCATTCATCACAAACTGATCCAGGATGATAGCACCTGTTAGGATCCCAGCTATGAGCAAATGGTGAACCCCCCAAATAAGACACTATAAGAATATAAAAAAATATTTTTATAGTAAAAATACTAGCAATACATTTTTATATCATAAAATTACCAACAATACATTTTATAGGAAAATGACAAACAATAAAATTTGTCTGTAGTTGAAGACATAAAATTGTCTCCAAAATATTTAGATTTTGACATTAAATAACCCATAAAGATTGATATGCCGCTAAAATTCATCTAACAAATCAACCAAGTTCATTGAAAAATATTTCTCACCAAAGAAAGATAAATTTCTGTGGATTCCAGAAATAATATCATTTTGCCATGGATTATTTTAACTTTGTATCCAACCTGCAACACAACCATTTTGCTGAGTCCCTTATAGGGAATTCATTTTTTTGTTCATTCTTTTCCATAAATGCTGCTTTTGCATTGGAGAAAATTAACTTCAAACTCTTTCCTTCTGTCCTGTAAAATATGATTAAATATAAAGAGTGGGAAAAAAATCTGCAGTTGTCTTTTTGTGTTATTCATCTGCTCTTTATTTTCAGGTGGATCCGAGACATTCCAGGACAAACAAGCATTCTTCAATCATGAAATCCGACAGCTGCATCTCAGAAGGGCACACGACAAATTACAGATTAAAGTCAACCGATATAAGTTATTGCAAAGTGTAAGTTTGTTCTCTTTTTCCTTTTTACAAACATTTTTGTCTGCCATTTTCCCAATCTTTACAGATAAACTATTCATAAATTTCTTCTCTGCAAATTGATCTATCAGTGTTAAAAGATTTTGTTGCTGAAATAATGGAAGAGAGGAAAGACTGAGGATGATGCTGTACAAGCCACTCTTATTATTATTATTATTATTATTATTATATATAGGTACCAAACTTAATTGATCCAAAATTAAGAATTGGAAAACAAATGTCTGTTCATCACTGACAGTAAAAAAGGTTAAAGGTCTGGCAGATTTGTACAATAGTCAACAAATAGCACAGATTAAGTCTTTTGTATTGCTTTGTAATCAGTATTTCTCTCTTCTCATTGGTAATAATATAAATCTTGACCTTTCAACCTTTCCTCTACCACTTAAGATATATCTAAAAGTGCTCTGAATGTGTTGTATACTTTGCAAATACTCATCAATCAAAGCTTCATGATGTGAATCTTCAAGAGAGGTGACTCAAAGAATTCACTCTTTTGCCATAGTTTGACTTGCTTGACCATTCTGTCATTTATTATAAAATAAGAAGGAAACTATCCAGTTTTGTTTTATTTTTCTTCTTACTTTCCACCCAACACTTACTGCTGTGGCTTTCAAATAAATCCTGGTTATTATTTTGATACAAAAATTTAGGCCATTGTAGAACACTGTTTACTTTTCATAAATGAAAGAAGCCTATGAAGTTCATTCCAACCCTCACTAGTTTCAGACAAGGCCCCAAAATAAAGCAGTTTAGTGCCTGAGTTGGAGAATGTGTGAATGGCATTATTTAGATTCTATAAGTGTGGAAAATGTTTCAATCAGGAAATCAACATTCATCGAGATTTGCAATCAGAAGTTTTATTGTTTTCATAACAAATACTATCAGCTTTTCACCTATCGACATTGATTCTTGATTCTCTGCTCTAAGACAAAGCCATGCCTACAAATACTACCACACACACACACACACACACACACACATAACTGGCTTGGATTGTCACTGATTCCATTTCTGTTTTATCCACTTTGGTTTTTGGAACATTATTCTTTTTTTTTTATTTTTTGCAATCCATTTTTCTCTGTCAATATCAATAAAAAACTTTTTTTTTAATTTTTTTGAAGTTTCATAATATTTAAAATATTCAGCCAACTTGACAACTCTTCTTACACATGTAGCTACACATGTAGCTATTTACATTATTTTGTATTATTAGATGAAAAAAATATCAAAAAAACTATAAAAAGGCTCTGAAAAAAAGTATCTGTCGAGAAGTATAATATCTAGGTAAGAATTATTTGCACTTGTAGTATTTGTGCAAATTTGATGGCTTTCTTGTTTAAATTTTGTATTCTTTCTTTCTTTTCCTCATTGATATCAAACAGCATCTCAGATATGTCTTTTCCATCTTTCCTCATGATTAAAATGGAACAGTCCATTATTTATGATGTGTTAGTAGGGCATTTACTTTCTTTCTTTCATTTTCTCACTGAAACCAATTAGCGTCTCTGATATTTCTTTTCTGCCTTTTCATATAATCAGACTGGAATAGTCCATTATTTATAAGGTATTAGCAGGCCATAATGTACATGCTAAGTAAGGAATTAATGGAGAGGCAAGCAGAATTATAAGATATAAGTTTATATAATTTGTATATATGCTTATGTGTAATTTGCATATAATGTATTTTGTCTATTAAATGCAGGTTTCTTTATGATAAAAAGACATTGTTTCATGCAAAAACTATTTTTGCTCACCATTTATTTTTTCTCAAGAAATAATTCTCAATGCATATATATATATATATATATATATATATATATATACACACACATATATATTGTGTATTTAGGCAGCAATCCCTCTTTTATACATGTTTCATTAAAGACAACAGACAAGGTACTGCAATTAAGCTTTTTATTTAATTTTTCTTGTGTTCAAAAATGTGTTTTCTTTTCTGAGCACAGAATGTATAGAAATTGTCCAAATGTTCGGTAATTCCAAGTGCTTTTGGCTATACTATACTATAATTACATCAGTCACACTACTACATGGCAATCCATACAGCTAATGTTACACCTATCTGACAACAGCTCCATCAGAACCCATTTAAGTTCATACACAAACTTAGCAGACTCCATCAGAAACCTACTCGTAGAAAATACAAGCTTAAAACCTTATCCTCATGTAAAAAAAAAAAAAAATTAAAAATAATGGAAGCCTTAATAATAAAAATGAAAAGCCAACACTCAATAATATTAACTACGAACACAGCCACAATGTGCTCTGTTCAGAAAATAAAACATACCCATACATCCAGTTAAAAAGTAAAAATAAAATAATCCTTGATAATGGCTAAAAGTATAGTCAAAAGTGCTTGGAATTAAAGAACATTTGGACAATTTCTACACACTCTGTGCCCAGAAAAGAAAACACTTGTTTAAACAAAGAAAAATTAAATAAAAAGATTAATTGCAGTACATTTTTGGTTGTCTTTAATGAAACACACATGCATATATATATATATATATATATCATGTAAGAGCATAATTGGCCATCCTACAAAATGTTTAATATCTAAAAAACTACTAAATTAATTGAGTTTATTTTCCTAAGTTTTCAAATACGACGTTTAGCCATCTTGACACCATTTGTCATAAGAATCATTGAAAAACTCTTTGTGTTATTTAACTAGAAAGAGAACAGGTTAAAATCATTTTGTGTCAACCAAACCCCATCCCCCCATGTCTTCCCAACTGAGCAATGGTGAAACAAAAAAGATCATTCAGGCATTCACTAATGGTACCAACATTCATACTCTGGCTTCAATCTTCAAAGTTCATACAAGAACCATCAAGAGAACGGTGAATAAGTTTAAAAAAGAGGGAACGGTAGAGAGGAAAACTGGATCAGGAGGTCACAACAAGAGGGACTATCATTTCAACTTAGAGCTAAATACATTCTTATTGTTCAAAGTAGGGCCCAAAAGTGTTATAAAAACCTTGGAGAATTCCAGTAAGATATTTTTAATCATTCCTAAGATACAACAGTCCAAAGCTTAATCTAACAATTAAACAATTTTGCTGTTACACCCGTTATATATATATATATATAATGAAATGGACTAAGTCCGACAATTATTTTAAGACATTTTTATGTTTAACATTCTTTTTATAGATACAAATATTCAGGCTGGTAAATGTTGTTTAATACTGTTTATTATAAACAGAGCATTTACTTAAATATTTGTATCTATAAAATGAATGTTAAACAAAAATGTCTTAAAATATATATTATGTGTGTGTGAATATACCTTTCTGAAACCTTATTCTCATCCTTTAAATACTAGGATTTTCAAAAGAATGTTGAAGTAATTAGCTGTTAGTTAAATTAAAACACTTCTTTGTAGTTTCTCTACAACTGATGCTTGTAAAATCTGTGATACTCTCATGGCTATTTTCATTTATTGTTTTTACACTGTAGAAGTAAAAATTTACCAAGAAATGAAATTTTTCAAATTTGACAACCCGAAGAGTTAAACATTATTTGTAACACTCTGTATTTTTTTCTCTTTCTGTTTCCTCTCAACTGGGACCCTATTTCTCTCTTGATATTTATTGAAAGCAATCAACCTGGCTGGTTCTCTTCACAATTGTTAATCAAGACTCATAAAGAACCTTCAATGATCTTTATAAAACAATTGCTTTTGATACTACATCAATGTCTCCCGGTTGAGATCCCTGTAAATTGGATTCCATTACTCTTTAGAATCTAAATAATTCACTTGTTTTGGAGTTCTCTTCCATTGTAGTCTATTTATTAAATTTGTTCTACCATCAAATGATGTGTCCAGTCTATTGTTGGTACAAAAATCAAGTTGATTTTGCATCATAATACTGATCCTTATCACTTGGGGCCCAGTGGAATGGCACCGCCAGTAAAGAGATTATCTCTGGTGAAAGGATTAGAGATCAGTCATCTAGGACTTGACCAAGACTTTCATTTCATATTACGGTCAATCTCCATACATATCTATTTCCCATGTAATTGCAAATTTTGCTCTTACTGCAAAGAATAAAACCAAAGATTAACAAACTCTTCTTCCCAATGTCCATTTTGGGAATATATCTATTACTTGCTGTTTTCAAATTCCAGCCTAGTCTGTTGCATTCACTTTCACACTAATGCCCTTGAGAAAGTCATAAATCCATCTCTTCTTTCCTCAGCTGCAGATTAAATAGGAGGTTAAACTAGCATTCGGTCTAAGAGAACAGCTCTGAATGCCAAACCCTGGAAAAGACTATAGGAAACCGCTCCACCATCTTTCCTCAAAATATATGACTATTCACAGATAAAGAAATGGAATTTGTTGTGAGTCATCATTACCAAAACAAACACAGCATGTTTTTAAAAATACTGGTAAAATCTGATAGGTCTTCATATTTTACAAATAAGTATCACAACATAGTGAGTTTTCTTTATGAAGTCATCATCTTAAGAAAACTCGTATAAAAATTTGAGAATCATGCTAAATCTTTCTATCTTATTACAGTCATGAACAATTTCTCGGTTATCTCCCTTTAACTTGGTTAAACTTTTTAATCCAACGTTTAGTGAAAAAAAAAAAAAAAAGTAGTTGTGTCTTAAAAGAACTTTTAACGCTCATGAATCCTTATGGTCTTAAACGTTGATCTTTCTTTTCAAATATATCAATTATAAACCTCTCTTTTTAATCACTATAATAGAAAATGAACTATGAAAAATTAGGAAAACATTGAAGAGAGTGATAGTTTTTAGCTCAATAAACTCTCACTCACCAGTGTTTCACATGAACATGAAAATGTTTACTTTTTTGTAGTTTTATTCTTACGGTGTCAGTTTATACAACTGATCAAGGGAGTTAACAACGTTATTAAATTTATGAAACTTCTTTTTTTTTTAATTCTGCTTAATGCTTTTGATGATTT